AACCAGAGAATTCAGCTGCTTAGAGGCCATGAGAGAATTCTGTTGATTTGTAAAGGGCGGTCTTGTGCTCTGTTTCTAAGTGTTTTGACATATCTTCAGCTGGTATAAATGAGCATCATCAGTGAAAAAAAGGTTCTTAAAAATTCTTGAGAATTCGGCCACATATCAATGAAGTTTTTAAGCCAAAAAAAACCAAACAGGCATATCAGTTATGTTTGTCCTGGCATTGTATCTAATGGGCATTTAGCTGTCCTTCTAAGAGTACTAGAAATCAGATTACTTCAGAGTTTGGGGATTTTCTTTTAGTGTTATAGTATTTTTTGATAAGTTGAGGTTATCCTTTCCAGACAACACTGGCATTTAGGTACCATTGATATCCATGACCTTTTCCTCAGTGCAGGACCGACTTGGCTAAGGCACCTCTCTATTTTAAGGATCTAAAAATAACACATGGGGTCCACCTGCCTGCCGTGCATAGGCAGAAAGCAGCCTTCTCCCTTCAGCCACTTGATGTTATCTTCAGCCTCAGGATGTTATCTGACTTCTTCTTAAGACCCAAAAATATTTGTTGAAAAACCAAAACCAATACCTTGCAGCAGTTGTAGAGCTTCTGTAATTTATTTCCAGCAGCTTTATTAGGATGAATTTGTGTGTTATCCAGTGCTTGATCTGGTGGCCAGTTTTCCCAGTGTGCTTGATAATGGTATCATGGAGGAGCATACTTCACAAGATCATTTTTATTTTATGCTGTATTTTCAGGAAAGCAATTCAGTTTGCAGGTTGTTGGTTTTTAACAGGTATTAGGGAAATGTATGAGGAGTCACTGGGGCATCAATACACATTGAACTTGTAGGTGTGTTACTAGGTTATGTGAAAATCATTCCTGTTACAGAGTGAATGTTACTTGAATGTGGCTTCTCCAGAATCCATTAATAAAATAAAAAAAACCACCCCACCTACCACACAAAATGCTAAAATGTTTTTATTTTTTACGTTTATTTTTAGTCTTGGAACTGAACCAGGTGATTATTCCCACTTACGGAACTGTGCCAGATCAGCAAAACCTTCATACTCCTGAATGGGTGGGTACTTCTTTACTTCAACTATGACTACCTGTAATTTTTTCTCGTAGAGATATGCAACAGTCAGTAGCTGTTCCAGAAGACTAGCGTTCCTTTGCATTTGCAGCACATGCAGTTCATCTGTGTGACTGAATCTGAGTTGCTGTATCTATCTCTGTTTCCCTAAAGGTACCTGAAGTCATTGACTTGGATGTGAAAGTGCAGGTTGACTCAGGCACTGGACTCAATTAAAAGTGACCAATATATATTCACTATAAACTGACACACACACATACACCTCCTTTCTATATATAATTTTGTACACCCGTGTATAGGATTTCTGTGTGTATATACAAGGATAAATAGTTATGAACACACCGTACATATAAATACACATATCCTGTAGATTCATACACACCCAGGTATATGTTGGCTGACATGTGAGTTCGGGGTTCATTTTTACAGAAATCTTGGAGACACCAAGAAATTCTTTACTCCAGTCAGCTACTGAAGTGGCAAGAAGAAAAAAAGACCTGGAGGTGTCCATTCCCTTTATCCAGAGTTCAAGTTCCCCAGCTCGCCTAATGTTTTCTGCAGCTAACAGGCTTCTGGCTCTAGCTCAAGATCCCCTGCCTCAGATCTCATTTATCTCTAAGGGCTGGCCAGTCGACCCCAACAAGCCCTGCCATGGCACATGCTTTGCCAACCTGATGCCCAACGGGCAGGCTGATA